AGTGCTTAAGGCACTTCCAGAACGGATGAAAATGAGGTATGTTGGCGGAGATTACAATCCAGCATAACACAGAACGAGCTACCTGAAAGAATAGTATATTCCTATAGGGTTTGGATTTTTTTTTACTTCTCTATATTCAGCAAATAAATTTGTGCATAGACAATAAGGCTCAATATTACCAACCTCATACTACTTTACAAAATGCAAGTGCTGAACTCAGTAGCAGTATAACAAAGTATTTATTGCAACAGGAGAGAAGTATTTTTCATGAGACTTCCTTTAGCAAAATTATACTAAAAATGGGGGTTGTCCCTGAGAGGCAGGTTTCAGCAGAGGAAGTGCATCTGCAATAGCCCATATGGGACTGCAGAATGTTTTGGATTAGCTGTGCACCATGGGTAGTACTAGTTTTATCTTTTTATTGTTGTTTTGTTCACAGTTCTGTGTATTTTAAGATGCTATCCGTGGCCTTTTGGGGTATAATTACATTTTTTGCTTGATCTGTAATTTAGTAAGTGAAACAACAAGACAAAAGGTTATTTGGAATCAGAGCTGACAGCCAGGAGGGTGAAGTGCTGACATTAGTCTGCCTCCTGACAGGTCTATACCTCACGATTCGTCTGTGCATGTGTCTGTGATATATTTAAAAAGTGAGAAGCCTGGCAGAACGGATTTCAGCCTACATAGAGGTGCAGGTAAATGGCACAATAATGAGCTTCCAACTGCCTGTTTTATTATCAGCGTGATGCCTTTTTCCTTGGCTCACTTTCACCAAACCTAATGAAAATAGTTGTCACAGACAACATCAGAGCATGGCTTTTTTTGTTACCGCTGGAAAGTGTGTCATTGCTCTCCGTCCTTCTGAGATTTCATTCCGTAAGTAGTGCATACTGTTGGACTTGAATCCCTATTGCTGAGCTGATGGTCTGTCCCTCTGATTTTATGTAGAGTGGTTTGTCCATCAGTGGTTGTGTTACTTGGTAAACTAGGAAATGAGAGTTGGTGTTGTGTTCTGCATTTACTAGCCAAAAGCACTGGATATCCTTCTCTATCTGCTATCCACCACTGTTATATTAAGTGCTATACCCACTGAGGAAATCTTTGTGTTCCAGCAGCTCATGAAGTCCTTTCTCATGGCAGAACAAAAATACACCAATAAAGAATTCAGGACACAGATGCTGATCTCTCTCTTTCTGATACTTATAGAAATGCGTCCCTGGGGCACCTGTGGTAATTAAGGTTGGTTTGTAACTACATTTTCATGGTGGCCCGTTTGGACTACTAATACTGAGGCACAGTGTATTTTGTGTATCTAACTTTAAAGTCACATTTTAAAAGAAAGAGTCTAACAAGGGACTGCTAAGGAATGGCTATGACTGAGTTTAGAATCATTAAGGTGGGAAAAAAAAAACACTAAGATCATTGAGTCCAACCATGCCCACTAACTATGTCCCTCAGTGCCACATCCCCACAGTTCTTGAACACCTCCCGGGGCAGTGATTCTACCACCTCCCTGGGCAGCCTGTGCCACAGCATCACCACTTCTGAGAAGAAATTTTCTGATTTCTAACCCGAAGGTGCATTTTTTACGGCACATTTGTTCTAGCAGAGCTGTTGGTGAAGGCTGGAGTTGTACTCAAGCATGTGTCTTTGTACCAGAAGACAAGAACAGGCCAAATTTGGCATTGTGTTCACAGCTTGTGCAGCACTGCAGCCAGGCTTGAGATAAATACCAAACAAGTCAGATCTCCAGCCACTTTTCTTTTAATCAGCATCTCTTTATTGATCTCAGCAGCAAATGCAGATAAGACAGCTACTGTGAAGAAACCATAGAGCCATGAGAGACTGAAAACACAGAATCAAGATTAAAAGCATTTTTAAAATTTGATGTTTTAAGTCATAAACTTTTTTCCTTGAAGGTCCTTCTGTGTGATAATTTGCCTTAAACATTTTTAAAGGTGATGATTTAATAGCTTAGAAAATCAAATCAAAAATTGAAAGATTTTTTAATGTATTAACATGAATTTTTAAATTCCTTAGCTTTAATGACCTACTCAGATTCACAAAAGATAAAGATAAGCATATTGTTTGCATCTAACCATAGCAGTGCAGACACAGTGAGGCTTTGGGTGAGATGACAGTGGGCAGTGAGCCAGAGACAAAGCCTGAATTTGGACACCACTGGTTTGGGCTCTTAGCTCAGCCCACAGCTCCACAGGTGCCAATGCCCCAGCACTGAGAGGATTTCAACATGTGCTTAGAAAAGACTTCCTAAGCAAGGTGCCCCTTCTTCAGTTAAACACCTCACATTGCTCTATGACTCTTCTAACCCCTCTTAAATAATGGTGCTTCAAACTCTACCTTCCTAAGCTTTGGGCTCTTCCTGTCAAACTAATTTTTTGCTCTATAGAGGACTATTTTTTTCCACTCAAAAATCAAGCTTGAGAACTTTTGGTGACATAATAAAGAAGTCCAGGGAACTTGTTTCAGCAAAAGAGAATGTCTGAGCCAGAAGCTGATGAGAAAGGTATTAAAATAGTATCTAAAAGCATTAAAAATGTTAGTGTGGTTAGATCCCACAGCTTCCAAAGTCATCAATTGAAAGAAAGGAAGCATTACCGAATCTGATCCTGTAACTGTGTAAGGAAGTGCATGTTCCATCCCACTAATCAATATTTATTTCTATTTTAAGTCTGCGACCGGCTTTCTAAAAATCTAGGTGTTGTGCTGTCACATCAGAAGAGATTCTGCTGTTCTGTTCAAGGGGAACAATAGTAAAATGTAATGCAGTTATCTCCAGCTACCCCTCAGCCTCTTCCACCAGCCAGGAGGGGAAGGCAGTGATCTGTAACTATAACCTGCCTGAGTTTCTGAGCTGGTGTGTAACATGAAAATATGAGGAACCAGCAGGAATTTAGAAAGCACCATATATTGAGTGCTTTAAACATACACCACCAGTTTGCCCCAGTGCAAGAGACATTGAGTTATTACTTCACCTGAAGGGAAATGAAGCAGTGCACCCTTGGAAGCTGCTGTTGCCTCCCTTCAGTGGATGGGTACTCCAGCAGCAGGCCATTGCTGATATTCTGAGGAAGAAATTCAAGTGCCCTGGGAAGTGGCAATATCAAGCTCTGTCCTATCTCATCCTTTGCTTGTCCACTGGATGACCAAACTTGATAAAAATCGTAGCTGTGTTGTGGTATCTATCCCCATGCTGGGGAGCTGGAAGCACCAGCTCTTATTTACCACTCCTCCAGCTGGATATTTGCAAGTCTTTCCCACCTTTTTGATACCACCCTGAAGGACAGAAGTTCAGCCTCAGTCCCAGTTCTGCAGTGTGAATCTTTCAGGATGAAGTCAGAAATAATTTTTGCAAGAACAGAAATGCAGATATACCAGATTCTCTTGCACAGAGGAGCATGTAGGAGAAATGTAGGTTCCTATTGCTGCTACTGGGGAACAGAGCATTAGTAATTTCTTCTGACAAGCAACATCACTTCCAGAGGTGCAGTGAAGGGAAAAGCATCAAAAATACAAAACAAAGTTCAATCCATTGACCACTTTCGGTTCTGTTAACTTCTCCTTTCTCTTAAAGGAGATAGACACATTTCTTAAGTTGTGAATTATTGAGGGATTTACAGAGAATGAACACAAATCAGCTCTTTGTCTGTCTAAGAAACAAATTAAGATTTGGAAGCATTATTTTAAGGTCATGTTAAGTATACATATTATTCTTACACTAATTTTTAAGTTATTCCACCCCCTTAACATTTCCCTCTTTTTCTTTTTTAGAAACAGAACTATTTTTTTCAAACATATGTTAAGGTACACATATGCACAGGGAAAAAGCACTGGTGCTGTCATCATTACTCCTTTTCAACTTCCCCAGCAAAGTCATCCAGGCTGATTGTGAAAAGCCTTCACTGAGGGCTATTTTAAAAAGTTTTACATCAGATGTGGTGCAACCTCAGCTTTTCCCTTGTTAGGAAGAGAAACTATGGACATTACATGCTGTGGCCATAGCAAGATTTATCAGAGCAACATCAGAACAAACTATCTATACAAGGGTTCTCTGTGCTCTCTTCAAGCACTGTGAGTCAGCCCTTTCTTACCTAGGAGGCTTCAACCTAAGTCAAACTGGGAATGGGGTTTTTCCACCAGGATCTGAAGAGATGAATGCCCAGGGAGGGCATAAGCCATTCCAACTGCGTTGTTGAATCTTCCTCCTTGTACCTTAGGCTTGCAAGGAGGCATGCCTGGCTGTTCTTCTGCTTGTAGCTTGTTTGGAAGAGAGGAATGGGAGCAAGATGGGTAATCACAGTGATCCAGAGGGAAAAAAAGCCAATTCTAAACTGCTCTTTGAAAAAAAGAAAAAAACACACCTGTTCCCTGGGAGCTGGAGAGATTGGCATGCCAGGAAACACAGGGTGCTTTGTGGAGCAGGGCTTTTCCTCACAGCTGCCCTTGGTGCACAGACACAACCATCTGAGATCTGCCTCTGGGCTGCAATCCACAAAGCCAATTCCCACAGCTTCTTCTCTGCCCTCCTCATTCACTGTCAGCAATTAACTGCCCTGGGTCAGGCCCCAACATTTCAGATCCCACAGGTTGGGTCCTGCTTTTAGAAGCTGCCTGACAAGCGTTCAGTTGTTGCTCTGAGAGATCTTGGGAAAAAGTGACATAGAAGGTGTTCTGCCCAGTCTTCTGTGGGAGAGCAACAGGTTGCAGATGTATTTGATAAATGAAGTTACCTTCCAAAAGTATCCCCCAGCAGGGACTTTGCCCAAGTAGTCTTCAAAAATTTAAGAGGGATCTACTTTGGCTAAAGTTCACATGAGAAATTAACAGACATTTTTCCAATCTGGTACACTGGAATACCTCCCCCTCACACTGTGGTTTTTCTTCAGTCAATTTTTATCTTTTATTTAAACTGTTGTCCAGAAAAATCACCCACCTACACCTCCTTTATTTTTGTTCATTATTTCCCCTTGCCTTCCCAGGACAAGAAAAAGTCTTTCTTTTGGCTTGTTCCCACTTTATGCTTCAGAAACCCCAGCACAGATACCCTGGTTTCTACCTATGGAGCATCGACACAGCAGAGGAAAACAGTCACCTTCTTCCACAGCACAGAAGATGCAAGAAGGACCAGCAGCAAGGGGGTTAAAGGGAGTCCCATAGCAAAAATTTGTAATGCCTTGAAATTTTAAGTACTATAACTCACAAATCCCCATGAGAATAAAACTCATAAGTCCAGTTATTTCTGGTTGACACGCAATACTTGGGGCCAGTTACACAGGGTGTTTTTTCCTGTGAACAGAGGAATTGGTGATGCCTGGTTCCCTATTGATTTGTGCTCTCTTTCTGTGCACTCCTCACTTTGTTAAGCCCAGCAATCCCTCCAGACCTTTTGCCACATCTCTCCATCACCCATTTCTCTCTTCCTCCAACATCTCCTTTTTACTGCCTGCCAAGGAGGCAGCAGTGCCAGGACTCCTCAGCCCACACACACACTGAGGAACTGCACTTGCCTCTATCCAGCTACCAAGTTTTGTGACACTCAGACATATATTCTTCCATCAACATTGCAACATGCCAGCTTATTATATCCCACAGAATGAATTCAAGTTGTTTTAAAAATAAAATCCCAAATTTGGCCTTGCCTTGACTGCTGTAGCTGGTGACCATTTGAAACCTGTCTGAAACAGAGAGATGGGTGCAGGGAGGGGGTGAGATTTCTGTATAGGATGGAGAAAAAGGTTTTTGTTGTGTAGCTATTTTTAATGCTTGAGAAATACATAGCTCACGGCCTTCTCCCTTTTCAAAGAGACTGAAGAGAGAAAAATAATTGGTGCTGTCTTGAACAACCAAGAATAGCAGTTTTGGATGTAGTCAAGTGTCCTTACCTCTAGCTGGATAGGTTGAAATGGATGAAGTCTCTTACCTTGACCTGCTAGAGCAGAGGCATCTGACATACCGCCCTTTTTAACCTCCATTACACAAAATGAGAACTCTAGAACCAGGAGCATCACACTTCCACCATCCAGTTAGGTTCCTGGCTGAAGAACACTCACAGAGCCCTCACTGTGATAGGAAAAAAGAACCTTGTATAATAAATCAATACACAGATGCTATAATTAAGAAATATATTAAAAAGCTCAGCTAAACAAATTAACACACTAAAGAAAAGCAGATAGAAAGCTTACCTTTGTCTTGGACTCACTGAGAAGACTCCAAAAGGAGCAATCTCCAAAAGAGATCCTTCCCTAGGGGCAGTCAGCTCTTAAATGGGTCTAGGAGAGGTGGAGCAAGGCTCCACCCCTACAGGTAGCACAGGTGAATTGCCTTCACCTGTGCTCCCAGGGCTGATTCATTGCTCACCTCAGGTGGTCAATCAGAGGTTCAGGCTGTGATTCAGCAGTTCCCATACAGGCCTCCAGAGAGAGTCCTGTATTTTTATCTGAATAGACTCTCTACAATTCAGGACAATATGTTTCAAGCTCATTTGCAACATCTATTTTCCATGACTTTTCTCAGAGTTATGTGTGCTTAGCATTACTAAAAAATCTTGCAAAAAAAAAAAAAAGCATCATGTGGTCTCTTCTGGTTTGGTTTAATTCTTCAAGCAGGCAGCTTCTAAAAGTCCTCCATTTTTCTGACTACTCCGGTTCCAAGAAAGATTGAGTTTGCTTTGCTTCTTCTATGAGACTCATCCCAGTGAACTGCTGTCTTGGTTGTACGGAGGGATAAATGCCTGATTTTCTCTTTTTGAAAAGGCCAAGAGAAAATAAAGAAAAAAAAAAGGCTTGCACTTCTGCTCAGCTATTTGGCTGGGAGGTTTCCATATCATATGTCACACTGGCTTTTCTTCTCCAGAAAACTGCACGTATGAGATTGAGGGGAAGTACAGGGTTCTGACAGCATTTAGAAGATTCCAGCTAATTGAGTTACTGGGAATTTTTCTACACAGCATTTTTTCTTTTGAAAAATGCCAGCTCCATGTGGAGGAGGGTCAGTTCCAACAAATAACTCACTTTAACAGAGATAGTTTGAAGGAGCTGAGGTTGAAGGGGCCAGGCTCCAGTTAGTGCCTGGCATGGTGGTGTCTGTACCCCATGACCTAATAGGGCTCAAAAATTCTGTATAGGAAATCCCGTCATTCCACTGTTGTCAGCAAGTAATTAGGAAAATCAAAGTGTTATTGCATGCTCTTCTGTGACTAACCTGGGCACTAAGTTATAATCTGCTTCTAGGAAGGGGCTTTTTTTAAGGGCATGTAGTGACAGGACGAGGAGAACTGGTTTTAAACTGGAACAGGATAGATTTAGACTAGATATTAGGAAGAAATTCTTTACTATGAGGGTGGTGAGACACTTGGAACAGGTTGCACAGCGAGGTTGTGGATGCCCACTCTTTGGAAGCATGCAGGACCACGTTGGATGGGGCTTTGAGCAGCCTGGTCCAGAGGGAGTTATCCCTGCCTATAGCAGGGGGCTTGGAACTAGATGATTTAAAGGTCCCTTCCAACCCAAACCACTCCATGATTCTCTGATTTTTGTTGTTTGGTTTATAAGCTTTGGTCCAGCCTTGGGCAATAAACTGTTTTCAGGGTTGCCCGCGTCGGACTTTTAGCCTGGGGAAAGGAGTTCATATAGCTCCAATAGTAAGAAAAAATGACTAGGGGAGAGAGAGACATCATTAAAAGAGCTTTAAAGTGCAAAGTTAAGTATTTGGAAGTCAGGGAACACCAAACAGGGGGTCATCAGCACAACCCCAGTTGTACGCTTGAGTGATTGGTAAAATTTTTAGTTATGTGATCCCAATTTTTTTCTGGGGGGCTTTCAATTGAACTTTGTTCAGTTGAAGAAGCATGGTTGCATAGTTAGAAGCATTGTTGTCCACAAATTGGATTTGGGTGGTTAAAACCAAAGAGAATGTCCAAATTTTGCCTTTCTCTGAAAGCCACAGCTATAGTTGACTACAATTTCTACTATTTTCATTTTCTGATGACTGTTAAGTCATGGCTGTGGGTGAGGGGGTGGCTGTGGTTAAGTATCTTTTCCTTACTATTTATGGAAATGGAAGGCATGTGATGAAAAGGAAGAAGAAAGAAGTCTACTACAGTGATGAAATTTGTTGAAAGTTGCACCATGGGCTGGATTACATCCCTGCCCAGAGCTCTCACTTGCTGTTGGCAAGCAGCTCGAACATGTTCAGAGGTTAATGAGGCTACTTCTGCTGCTGAGTGCACAAATTAGATTCTGCTGAAGTATTGAGTAAATGCAGGTGAAACTAATGGGATCTGTTCTCTGAGTATAGAAAATAGTACAGCGTATTAAATGTTATTAAAAAATGCAAGCTGCCACTACAATTGGGTACCAAAAAAAAGGAAAGATTAATATAATGAGTCAGCCTCTTGTCAATGAAATGGAAATAATACCAGCCTTTCTTCTCACTGTGATTTGGGGGAAATTATTGTGCAGCATTCGGACAACACAGCATCCCATTCCCCAGTGAGCCAGGAGTGAGGGAGTGGAACGAGTGTTAAAGATTCAGAGAACTTGAGAGGAATGTGCCTTATGTGAGCTGGTGCGGAGGAGAATAATCTGTGCTCATGTAAACACAGACGGCATCATACGACTTCAAGGGTCAGAGCTCAGCCTGAATTAAGATAGAGCTCTCTTTTTTGATATTTAGCATTCAGAAGATGAAAGAAGCATTGCCCTAGAAAAATCAGTTTTTAAATTCTGCTGGATCCTGGGATTTCTCTTTAGAAGTAAATTAGGACATTCTTTTCTTTGCACTTCAAAGATTTACGTGCATGACAGTGAGTAATCATCTGTTCTCTAAGTGCTAGTCAGCACGATGGAAAATGAGCCATGAGCTTGTCCCATAAAGTCCTGGGAAGAAACAAATAAAACAAGTGACGCAGGGAGGGTTTGCCTTCTTTATGTGGCTGAACAAAGCATTTCTTACCAGAAAGGATAAGGCAGTAGTCTGCCAGCTTTGTGGCTGATGCAAGCAGAATTTTTAGTCACAATATTTTAACAGAAAGGAAAGCAAGTGAATCAGAACAGCTTTTCCAGAAAGTGCTTCAGAAGACTTTCTCCCAAGGCCACACTTAATCCCTCAGTTGTCACTTGCTTTCCGTCACCCAGAAGCAGGTCTCTGCTCATCTCACAGGTACCCTGAGGATTACTAGTAATACTTTCTTTTCTTGTTGCTATCTATTTTCTGTAAAAGCACCCATGTGGAGTAGGCACTTTATGGACAAATAAGGAAGCAAGTTACTATTCCTAGAAACTTGTGATCAGTAGGGCTTTGCCTGACATTGTGTAGGGTGAGCATCTCTGGACTGCGTTTATGTATACTTTACTTGTAATGATTTAGCTTGTGTGCCTGGCTGTGATGACTCTTATTTCACAAAACCTGGAAGTGCAGTAGGTGATCCACAGCAGAACCTAAGCTATAGGTTGGAACAATACATCAAGAAAAACAAAAAGAGTGGGTTCAGGTCTGTCTGGCCTGGTGCTTTTTCTTCCAGTTCACACTCCGAAACCCATCCCTCTCAGAAACTGAGCCAAGAGGGTGTTGCCATAGACTGCCCAACGTGTATGTTAGAAGGAAACAGGAGAAACCAAGTTCTCAGTGTTGACAGAGAAATCGCTGGGAAGAGATGAATCCTGAGGAGTTCCAGTCCGAAGCCAGGGTCAAAATATTGTAGCTGGCTTTCCTAAAGCATCAGTGTGCTCAGAAAATGAAGGAGAAGGGGAGGGGTGTGTGCAGCAGGGGCAGTGGCAGGGTCTGCAGCAAGACATTGGGTGCTCTGAGCATCCTGGCCCCAAAGAGACTGCTGCTGCTACCTATGTCATGCAGACTACTGGTGAGTGGACCCCAGGTTTGAGCTTCAGCAAAAAGCACGGAGATATTTCATCCTGAAGGTGGTATTGCAAGGAAGTCTTCTGCAAAATTAATGGCCTCATTGTCATTTTAACTGTGTAAAGCACTGCAGTCCTATGCCTGATGGCTGAGAAGGAATGCTGGCTCAAATAACTTTGCTAATCACTGATATCATATTAGGGGAAGGTGATTTATCTTCCCTCAGTAAATAGTTTGGGTTCTTACATAGCGAGCACGCTTACTGACAGTCAGTGTACACAACTGCTCAAGAGAGCCTTTTTAATAGTACACAGTCTAGGATGATCTTTTTTCAACAGTAACATTTGAAAGGCATGCAGGAAGATGGACAGGTGGTG